GTCTCAGAAAATGGTCAGAAATAGTTGTCTCTTGCCAGAGACATGTACTGCTTTTTTTCTGCTGGATTGAGCGCTGTAGGAAGCGATGACAAGACCCCTTGGTGCAGTGACCTCTTGTCCCTGGGGGTGGGAAGGTGCCAAGTGTCCTTTCCCCCTCGTGATGATGGTGTTGATAGGTCTTGCACCTTGTACATCCAGCAGTGTATTCCTGCTAGAGCTGTGGGGTGCACTGAGTATACCCATGTGGCCCTCAGCATTCTCATGTAAATCTAGGACCACCTCACTCACCCACCCTTTGCAAATAGACCAACTTATCTCCAAAGACCACAAGGAGAGGAGAGAAAGGGAAGAAATCTGTCAGCAGAAAGGCTGACCATCTGCTCAAGGCAAAGATTTATTTCTGTAGCCTTGCTGTGAAGGGCTACTTGACCAACAGGGTTTGTGGCTGTGGAGGTATTTGCTGAGAGTTTGGCCCAAGGACCAGGGAGGTTGAGGCAGTGATGAAGGCTGGCTCTTTTTGTGCCATTTGGGGGCACATCTTGGTGCAGAAAGCAGCTAACCTGGTGACCCTGATAAAAGAGGAGCTGCTGGAGTCATGGAGAAGAGGGAGGAAAAAGGAAGGAGTGAATTCGGAGGAATGGTCTGGGAAAGTAGCTTTTATGAAAACCCTTTTAGTTGCGTGGTTGTAAAGTGAAAAGGTATTTAGGAAGATGTACGGAAAGCACATAGCAAGGAAGAAAAGTTAGAAAGTAGCTAAAAGGTTGTCTGTGATAGCTCTCTTCAGTTTGTCCTTTATAGAAATTGTAAGGTTTGCTCCTGTCACCATCTCTTGGAAGAAGTGTCGAGAGACAGGCAGAGGATTGAGCAGAATGAGCCTGCTTGATCAGTGGCATCGAGAGAGCTGCTGCAGAGCTCGTGGAGCTGAAGAAAAGGGAATTTGCTGCCGAGCTTTGCTTAATAGCATCTTGCTGCTAAAAATGCCCTCCGTGAGTGCGGGAGCAGAGCGAGAGCATGACGGGTGAGGCAACAAACATGTTGCTGGGGGGAAGAACAGGGAATAGAGAAATGAGTGTGGAAGCCAAGACCTGAGGTCCCAGGTCCTCAGCCAGCACAAAACCATTTAGCTTTTGTCTTCTGCCCTCTTCCTTGACCTCTGCTCCTTTTCCCTGATAACACAGCCCAGATCAGGCCTTCCCCGTTTTGATAATCTCAAATGTAACCAGAAACTAAGAAACTATCGTCTGTTCAAGGATGAGAGTGGTTTGGTTTTTTTTTTCTTTTTGCCTCTGGTATTTACTTCATGGGAAAAGTAGGTGGCTAACGTAATTCATGTTTATTGCTAAATGCAGCGCTTTAATGTTCTCTTATTACAATAGCCTGAATGCAAAGCTAGCAATAAACTACAGAGATGGCACTTCAAAAACACAGTAACACAGTTCTTATGTATGTATTTATTTTTTAACCTTCTAAACTTTTTGCAGTTTGTGCGGGGTGCCTTTTTGCACAGGGTTCCTGCTTCTGTACTGCATTTTGTTTGAAGGCTTTTGGCCAGCCCGTTACAATTGCAAGCAGCAGGCATAGTGGCTGGCTGATGTTTTGCAGGGTCTCTGGGCCACGATGCATTCAGTGCTCTTTACATTTCTTTTTAGTCATAATTAGCTCCATCAGACTAAATTCTTTTCAGTTCCCTTCAACCCCCGGTCCTCTGACTTCTGCAATAGTAGGAAGCATGTTTGCATTAGATAAATAGTTCGGAGTACCTTGCTTCATTATGGGAGTCTAATCTGCTTGTTAGAACTGTTAATCAAACAAGATAATACAATATTGTTCTGACAGAAGCATCAGTCCGTGTGTCTCTCTCTTTGGAGCAATACACTAAATATAAACTGTGTTTGTGGCTTAGGAAAGCAGATAGCCACTGTGCCTATCTTTCCAAAGGCCTCCGAATTTGCAGGTTCTGGTGGGCATGTTATCGTGCGATCCTGCTGAATACAATGCAGGGCGCCTAGTCTCCAAGCTGTGCGGAAATGCAAACCCTATTATTGCAGGGATGCTCCCCATCAGCCTCATTAGGGATGATGAATGAACGGTCACAGCTGAAGCATTTTTTTCCCCTCCCCTGAAAAGACCCATTGACAATGGCTGCTGCCCGTGTATATCACAGTGTAAATTAATCGGCCAAGCTACCGCTACAGTAATACTAACCTTTAAACAACAAACGTAATCTTGCTTATCTATTTAAATCTCTCTCAAAGGCACTCTGATGTTCTTCCTTTCTCATGCCTCTTTGTGCAGAATCACCTCCCAGCTCTCTTGCCTTTAAAGGGCTTCCTGGTGCAAAGGCACAAGTGGAAATATTTGCATTTGTTTCGTGTTGTCTTGTTCCTACACGGTGGAAGCTGCCTCTTGGGCTTTCCTGAGGCTCAGCGAGGAGCTCGTTTGCCTCTACGGTGCTCACATCAGACCTCGGCACCTGAAGTCTGCAGATGCATCCCCGTGGGTGCACTGTTACCCGTGGGGCACAACTGCGTGGGGTGAAGGAGACACAATGTGCACATGGACATGCCTGCAGGGGTTGGGCTGGGAGGCCAGGCCTCTTCACCAGGTGTCTGTCTCTTGTGGTGCTTCAAGATGAAGGTTGGGTCATATCAACGTGTAAATAGCTGCCTTTTCTTCTCCTCCTTTCCTTTCTCACCAAACGCAGCATCTTGGTCCTGGATGTGGTCAATGGTTTAACACACATGTTTGGCAGGGCAGGACCTGTGGGTTCCCTCTCCATCATTGGCCTGGGCAGGATGGACACCTGGATGGTTTTGGGTGTTGTGCTGGTTGGGTTGGGACTGCTTAGCATCCGTTTCCTTGCCAAGTGCCCTGCATGCTTGTGGTTCTGAACAAGCTGTCATGAAGCAAATGTTTATTGCAATTGGCACCCAAGTATGTTGGCCTGGTTAGGAGCTCTTTTGGAATCCTTTGCTTCTAGTCAGGTATGTGGAGCAGAAGGTGCAGAGCTCTACCCAAGGCCTACAAAGATCCTGTTCCTGTCACTAGTCAAGAGCAACTAAGATGATTAAGGGACTGGAACATCTCTCTTACGAGGAGAGGCTGAGTGAGCTGGGCCTGTTTTCTCTGGAGAAGGCTGAGAGGGGACATGATTAACATGTATAAGTTCAGGAAGGGAGAATGCAGGGAGGAAGGGGACAAGCTGTTCTCACTGGTGGCCAGCGATAGGATGAGGGGTAATGGCTGGAGCACAAGAAGTTCCGTCTCCAGGTGAGGAGCAACTTCTTTACTGTTAGGGTGACAGAGCAGTGGAACAGGCTGCCCAGGGAGGCTGTGGAGTCTCCTACTCTGGAGGTCTTCCAAACCCGCCTGGATGCCACCCTGTGCCACATGCTGTAGGTGTGCCTGCTTGAGCAGGAAGGTTGGACTAGATGATCTCTAGAGGTCCCTTCCAACCTTAAATATTCTGTGATTCTGTGATCATATTCTTGCCTCTCTAGTTACCATATGTTGAATTTGTCAAGAGAAGGTGGCTTCTTCTCTTGTGAATCTAGGAAAAAGGAATCTATTAGATGCCTTTGGGGTTTTTTTTGTGGTTGTTTTTTTCTTAAATAACAATGCTTCAGCATTTACATTTTGAAATGGAAGATCTCATTTGCTTTTTTTTTTTTTTGAGACGAGAGTGAAGGGCAAAGAGTGATTTCCCCCCCCCCCCCTCCATTGGAGCCAGCTGTGGTTTGTTCTGCTCTTTTTGCATTTGGATGGGCATTTTGTATTGAAATCCAAACTGGAACTGGCTGCTGAAATCACAAACAAGCAGCCTGACTTGACTAAATAAGCTTTCAGATGATCCCAACTAGGCTTTGATGCTGAAGAGAGGGATTTTCATGACTGCGGAAATAATTTGGGAACATGCTTGCCCCCAGAGCCAGTGGTTCCTTTGCTTGAAGATGATTATGGTGATGATTCATACTATGGTTAGTCTCAGCAAGAGGCTGCCTTGTGTGTATAAGCTGATTGAACAGCGGAGAGCTTTTCTAAGCAAATCCTCCTCTGTTTTGAGGAGTGTGTCTATAGAAAACTCTCAGGGTTTTCTTTTTTATTATTATTACTTGAGGAAGCATTTATCTACAGAAGGCAATTTATGTTTGTGGGATTTTTTTTTCCCCTAGTTTCCTGCCCTGGTGTTAACTGACTTTGCAAATGAGAATTTCCACAAGATCCTAGTTCAGGCTTCCCATGTTTTTGACATGTGAATGACATAAAGGTTCAGCTAATGAACAACCATATACCAGTAGTATACAACGTGTGTTCATCTTGATTGTAAAAGTAAGCATAGCAAAAAAGTGGCTTAAGCTAATTAAGTTAAACTGGGTTTTTTTCTTCCCTCAACTTACTGGTTTTCACGTTTGGAGAATCTAATTTTTTTTCTCACATTCTTAATAACATATTTGGTTTCTGATATCAGAAATAAGTTTAATTGAATACTTTCCCACAGTCACTTTCTTATTTGGTTTAAATTCATGAGGTTATTTTAAGTATTTTTAATTGTCTGAGGTCAAACTGATTTTTATAGCCATTTACAGATCCATAAAACTTCATAAAATGAAAACCGATGGAGTAACACAAAAACTTCGTACTTGCATCACACTTCCTTAGATGTCTTGTGGTTGGGATCCCAGTGGCATTGATGGGAAATGTGTGAAGTGTTTTATCCAAGGTTGTTTGAAGGACTGAGTAACCACTTTTGAAAGGAGTCCAATGAACAGGCAAAAATAGATCCAGGGATCCATGAGATGATCATAAAGGAAGGATGGAGCTTCAAATGTAAATCTGACAAATGTAGTTAACTTCCTGGGTATTTAAAGAAATCTTAGGCTTATATTCATCATGGGAAGAGTGGTGGCAGCGTACACGGTTGCCACATGGAGTACTGGAACCTAGTGAGGCTTGAAATCTATCCCTGTTTGTTTTCTCTTGCAGTTTGGGGCAGAGTTCAGACGGTTCTCCCTGGATCGCTACAAGCCAGGAAAGTTTGAAGACTTCTACAAACTCATCCTTCACATTCATCACATAGCCAGCCTGGAGGTGATGATTGGATATGCTGATGTGCATGGAGACCTTCTCCCTATTAATAATGACGACAACTTCTTCAAGGCTGTTTCAAGCGCTCACCCGCTGCTCAGGGTTTTCATACAAAGACAAGGTAAGATACAGGTTTGATGTCAGTGGATCTCTGGCACTTTCGAGATGCATTTAAAGACCAAGACAATGTAAGAGGGCCCCAGGAGCCTTCCCAGTTTCAGGAGGATCATAGACTTATTTGAGGCACTTCATTACAGCATGTAGGAATGGCTTCAGTTGAGGGGAAGGCCTGTACAGGCATCAGCCTGTAAGGTGTTAAGATTGTCAGTATGAGCCACTCTTCTCAGGGGGATCTATCTTGTCTTGCTGGTGTTGTCATCTGAATGTGCCACTTGCCCCTCTCTGCCTGTTTGAGGGAGCTGTGGGGAGGAGGACCCTAGTGTTGTACTGCTTATTTAGAAATGTTACCTATCCACCCATTCTGGGAATCAGTGTTGTACCCAAATGATCCATGCCTCTACAGTGAAAACAGGCATGCAGATACCAAGTTATAGGAGAATGCTCTAGGTGTGCCTCACATGCTCTAGGTGTGCCTGCTTGAGCAGGAAGGTTGGACTAGATGATCTGTAGAGGTCCCTTCCAACCTGAAATATTCTGAAATATTCTGAAATATTCTGAAATATTCTGAAATATTCTGAAATATTCTGAAATATTCTGAAATATTCTGAGAATGAAATTCTGCCACAAAGGAGGTCTTACTTAAGTTTGATCAAGCAGATAAATTATAGTTCTACCCCTTATTCCTATGTTAAGGAGTATTGGTTTTTTTTCCCTCTTTGAATCGTTAAGCAAGTGCTGGACAGAATTGCCCAAGTATCAGGGTGACATCAGCCTTAAGTGTCTGTATTTTGCTCTCATAAGGCTTTTACTGCAGATACCTGAAAATGTACCCGGCCTTCTTCATAAAGATTGTGATAATCTTGTCTGAACCCTTGTCTGAAGCAGTTGGTGGCTTTTTATAGCAAGGTGTTTCTGCAGAGTTCCTTAAGTGTCAGGGGAACCGAATGCTGTTCTAGCAGTGCCTCCACACTTGTTCCCAGTCATGGAGTGATTTATAGCCCAGGCTTGGAGTGAAAATTTTGTCAGTAACAGGCTCAGAAATGAGATTTGATTTGTGACTTAGAGCAGTCATGTGGCTTTTTGGGGCTGGATTCTTTGCTGTGTAGATCTTTGTATGGACGGAGAATTACCGTGAGGCTCCAGGCTGCCCACTGGTACAAGGTGGTGTGGTGTGTGGTTGGCTGCCAAGCTGCATCCAACCCCAGTTGGAGCATATTGGCTGCCTTCCTTTTGGTAGACAGGAATGATATTCAAGGAAGCAGTGGAGAAGAAGATCTAGAGCAGATTCTTGATTTATTTATGATCTTTTTTTTGCGAGCTTATCAAATGAGTGGGAAAGTCTGAGAGAGGGCTCGGATTGCTGGCTCTCCCTTTTTGTGCCGAAAATGCAAAGCTGGATGACAAATTCCATTACGTCGTCTTCCTACAGCACATGTTTGGGCTTGTGAATGTTCATTTTGAGTTGGGTCATGAGAAATCCCTTGCATGGCTTTGTCATGCCTGTGTCAGTTCTAGTTTATTCATGAGTCTTCTGCACCGGAGCAGCCCTGTTCAAAATGTGGCTGTCCTTGCTCTGCCCTGGCAGACTGCTGAAAGCATTAGAGTGTTTCTGAACCCTGTATCAACATGGGGATGTTACCGTGTGCCACCAGACTGCTTCAAGAGCAGGCAAATGGGAGAAAGCTTGTAAACTGCACATGGAAAAAAATACTCCTTCTTCCTCCTCCTCTTCAGTAGGAAGTTATATGCTAGTAGTGAAGGTTTCCAACCTGTGAGTGTAACATTTAAGTGCAGTATTTTTCTTTTTTAAAACTTTTTTTTTTGCCTGCTATTCAGTGGAAAGAATAAAACTGACAAGACGGGAGGCTAAATGCAAGAGGGAAGACAGGCCCCTGACTCCTTACCCATGGCAAAGCCTGAATGTTTTCTCAACCTTTGTCCACCTCCTTCCCCAGAGAGCAGGAAACTCTTGTGCCATTCAGATGATTGTGGTCTGCAGTGTTTCAGATCGTATCCTAAGCTCTGCCTGTGGAGGCAGAAAAATACAGTGATGCGGGCAGTGGAGAAACCTGAAGCTGTGAGATGGAAGGAGACAGCAGAGCATGGGGTCTTGTTAGACCATGGGTCCCTGTCCTTCATGGGCAAAGTCCTGGGATGGCTGCCAAAGCTTGATGCAGGGGTGCAGTGGCTTGGGGAAACTGGCCAGAGGCAAGTGGGCGTGAAAGCTCTGAGAAGGGCTAAAGTTTGCGTCTTTTTCTAGCAGAGCAAAGTGTTAATCAGTTGCATGATTAGTTAGTCTTATCTGTTTTTCCAGTTCAGTAGCTGCATTATATTCTTTGTCAAGTGGATTATAATCATGTTAAAACAGCTTAGGTATTTGTGTGATCAGAGTGACAAAATAGGTAACTTTTTTTTCTATTTTTCCTATATCAAGGAACAAGGTTGACAGATCTGATTTTGTTTAGTTCTTTGCTGCTGTTGTTGTTTTTATCTGAAGCTAGTCTCCCACGTTAAGTTCAAAAGCCCGTCTCTCGCTCGCCCCCGGGGCGGACGGTGTGCGTGCTGCTTGGGCTCCTGCATGCCAGGCTGCTGCCCAGGTACAGGACTGGCAGTTGTGTTCTGCTCCCTCTTTTGCTCAAGTGCTCCCGGCACCATGTTCTTCAGGATCACAGTGGCCTTTGAGCACTCAGTGCCTTTGGGCAGCTGGCTCCAGGTTCTTAACGCTGTTCCTCTCGCAGCTTCTTGTCAAGCATGCTCTTAGCATGTCTGCAGCTTGAAGAAGAGCAGTTTCAGCTGTGACAAGTCTTCTAGTTCACAGGGACCTGACCCATCCACTGAAAGCGTTCAGTGCTCTTCTATTTTTTTATTTCTTTTTTTTCTTGCCCCCTTCCAGCTTCATGATCCTAAGTTGCAATGCGAGAACATGATTCTAACTAGATAATGAGGCCATAAGGAGAAAATCAAGCCATATCTCCTTTAACTTACTTCTGCAGGCTGCAGTATGGGCTGTGTCCTTGCCTGCTCTAAACCTGTGTGGCTCTTTTGGCTTCCTAAGCACAATAGCGATGTGAATCAGCTGATGCTTCAAGCCCAAGAATTTATTCACTTGGCCATTAACCAATATCAAATGTACCCAGTCTCTTTGTGGAAGGTGCCTGCTGTTAGGGAAAGGACGGATATCCTAAAGACCATAAAACAATGCAAGGGATGATGCATGTGTTTTACTTACTCTGTAATAACTAATTCTTGTACTGTAACCAAGACCTGCTTGAAGGAAGAATTTATCTGATGACAGTGTCTGTTTTAAACTTCAGCACTTGAGACAGTTGGTCTAGTGAATACTGCAAAAATGTTTAAATGGAAGCTATGAGTTCAAGTAGAAAAAAAATTAAAAATTGAAAGGCATCAATATTATATGCTGTGAATGCACTGCATTTTTTTCCTTCTTTCATTAAATTGAATGATCTGTTATTATCAAATCTTGCTTTTAATATTTATTGCCTAGAAGAATATGAGGTCAAACTGCTCTTTATTAGAGGCTGTTAAATGAAATAAATAGAAGTGTAATGACTCTATCATTGTATGCCTGCTTGAAACCACTCCTTGAACTTGGCCAGTGGGACACAGGGATTTAAGTGAAGACCTACCAGATAATCCAGGTAAGGAGAGGAAATCTTGAAAGCTCTGTTGTCCACGATTGTGCTTTAACCTGGCAAGGTTAGAAATTCCTCTGGGAATTGTTGCAGAAGGAACTTGCTGGTCACCTCACAAGCATTCCAGGCGACGCTTATCCCCACACCAAGAGGTGGGTGTAGGACTGAGAAGCTGAAGAACAGCAGGCCCAGCGAGTGGCGTGGTGTTTGGGTCTAGTTATGGTTGTGCACGCTGATGCAGATCCAGGCTAATGACCTGACTGAGAGGAGCGGTGGGAGCTGTGCTGGTGACCAGCCCATCCCTTCCCACTGCTCATTGAGGTCTGTAGAGCTTGCACGGGCAGTAACAGATCTGCTGCAGCTACGGCAGCGAAGAGGCCATGCAGCCTTGACTCCAGCCTGCGGTCAACTAATTCCCTTCTGGAGCGGTGTTTCCTGGTGGTGGTTTGAGGTTTGGAACCCCTGCTTGCCTTGCCCAAGTTTCAGCAGGTGTCCCTGTTCCTGTAAACCCTTCGTGTTGATGAAAAGGTGTCCCTCCCAGCAGAACAATTCCCAAGAAAAGCCTGAAGGAGTTGGGGTTTGGAGGAAGGACAAACCTAATTAAATCCTCAGGCGGTCTTGACAAGACATGTAGAGTGTCTGTAGGGGCTGAAATTGTACGTGTGGCTGTTGCGTGCGCATAGCTGCTGATCCTGTGAATCAGCAGATGTATTGCTATTGCTCTTAGGCAGCTTCCTTAAAAAATAAATTAATGAATGTGGGGAGCTGTATGTGGCCTAGAGCAGATCAAATTCACAATCTCTCAGTCAATAAACATAGTTTTAAAGCTTTCTAAAAACATAGCTTGTTTTGTGGTAAGTGCCCTACAAGGACAGATCGGTGAAATGGCTGGAGTGCCAGGCGTTCCTCCTGGGAATAGCGGGTCTGGATCTGTATTTCAACATATCTTGTCAAATATCAGAATTCTTACAGGAGGGTAAAAGGCAAAAAAATAAGAAAGTAAAGAGCTTTCTAACAGAACAAACAACCCTGAAGCACACTATAAAGCTAAGGGAAAAAGGACCTTAAAATAATCTAGTAAATGCCATAAGTGAATTGGGGCTGTTCACGTAGACTGAAACTGAAATCTGAATGGAGAAACCTCCTTAGGTACCTGCCTTGGTATCTTTACTTGTTCTTGATGCCTTCTGGTTCCCCTATAGTCATGAATTTTGCAGTCTGGAAAACCACTAATGTATAAAAAAATAATAATAAATAAAATAGTAATAAAAGACTTTCTGAAGGTGGTACTTCTTAAGTGCCTGTTCTTTTGTCATGATATTTTGATAGTTTATTGCTGTAACCATAA